TTCCCAAATTTGAACTTAGGTTAATTGGGGTTTTTGTTTAATTCAATATCCAAATGACCTGATTGGGAAAATTTGATGCCAAAATTGAATTACCCATGCCTGATTAACTCTAGGAATGATGCTCTCTTGGTTCAAAAATTTCAAATTGACCAAGATTCCCAATTTAGGCTTAAAATCCCTAATTTTCAATTGATTTTTGGGATTTTTCAATTTTTATGTTAAATCATGAAATTGGAGAGACCAATATGCAATTCAAGGTCCCAGAATCATTTTCTGTGAAAACACTATGGCCTAGAAATGACTAGAAATGGTTCAATTGAATTTTTGGTTCAATTTGGGCTTGATTTTACCCAATTTTGGGAAAAACATATTCCCAATTGAAATTTTATAAAATTGATGCTGTAGTGATGAAATTAGATTTAAAAAAAGACTAATGACTATTTTTATGGAATTTTTGGATTCCATTTGCTATTTTTCTTGATTTTCTCTCTTATTTTTTGCTTAAAGAAATTAAGGAAAAATTCAGAAAAATTCTAAAAAAAATTATTTTTGGTTTAGAAATAGGTTCCTAAGCTTGGCCAAGGTTCCTAATCCTAATTTTGTGATTTTTTAGAAAAATTTGAAAAATATGCTAAAAATCAGGTGTCAACAGTAACCTAATGGTACAAGTCTTGAAACTGAAATTAGTTTTCCAGAAAAAATAGGAATATAAAAGGTCCTTTCCAAATTCAAAACAAAACCATTATTGAGAACTAATCTGCATGTCCCAATAGATTCCACATGCGAACGCATCTTGTTTCCCGAATAGATGCATTGTTCACTCCCACTGGTTTCTGGTGGTTTTCAAAACCCTACAAGGAATTCAAAATGTGGATTGTCAATCCAGAATCAATCCACCAAGTATTGTGATTTACATTAGCCATATTAGATTCATATCCCAATAGAGGTTGGATTACTTTTCTTCTTGAGTCAAGCCTTAAATCTGACACAATTCCTCATATGCCCCTTCCTTTTACGGAAGAAGTATTTGGATTCCTTCTTAATGTCATCTTGGGAAGGTATTTTACCTTTTCCCTTTTGCTTGCCTCGCTCCTTATGCTTTTCATGTGTTGCCAAATTAACACTCTCTTCTGATTCCATAAGCAGCCTTTCTTCCTCTTGAATACACATGGTCATGAGTTCATTAATTGACCATTTACTCTTATGTATGATATAAGAGATCTTGAAAGGTGCATACTGTTGTGGAAGAGTGTTCAGAATATAATACACAAGAAAAGACTTAGATATCTCAACCTCAAGATTTTTTTGCTGAGCCACAAAGTCCCTCGTCTTCATGATGTGCTCACGCACATCTCTAATACTAGTGAGCTTTAGAGATGAAAAATTCATAATTAGGGCCATGGCATGCGCCTTTTCTTGAAGTCTCAAAGTGCGCACCAATGGCCTCCAACAAAGCCTTAGCATTGTTATGCTGAGCGAACGAACCACGAATTCTATGAGATATTTTAGTCTTTATGAACATCACCCTAAGGCAGTTGGACCGCTCCCATTGTTCATAAAGGGTTATCTCAGTTGCAGTGCTCGTATCAGAAGGAGCAGGTGGTTCATCTTTTCTTATAGCATAGTCAATGTCCATGCACCCCAATTGAAAAAGGATTGACTCCTTCCAAACTTAATAGTTTTCACTATTCAACACGGGAGCATCATTCTTAAATTCAGATAAATTCACAGGTTGTAAAATTACATATCAAACATACATGCTTAGGTCACAATATTTGAAGCATATCAAACATATATCATGCTTTAGCACTATAAAGCATGTCACAAAATATGAATCACATAATATAAAAACTACCTGTGGGCAAAGTTTTTAATTTAAATAGATTCATAATTACTTTATGAATAAACTATCATATTATATTCCTTTTCTTAATCCATGTGGGTAAATTAAGAAAAATAATATGATATTTCATCCTAATTAATCATATTAATAAAATGAAAATTCCAGTGGGATAAAATTCATCATATTAATGTGATTAATTACAATCAATATCAACCTCCAAATGTGATCTAGAGGCTCTTAATATATAATTTAAGATAATTAGAGATGCCACAGCATCTCTAATTAAATAAAATTATGTAAGGATCACTAGACATTTAATTACATGCATAAAATATCACAAAATTGCATGTAAGGGCACAACTATAAATTAATGTACCCAAGGCCAAAACAGTTAACTAAAAGCACCAAGGGGCAAAACTGTAAAATCATGCAGACAAGGGCAGAACAGTAAAATCCAGCTGCCAAAAGGGCAAAACAGGAATTTTAATGCAGAGAGGGGCAAAACTGTAAATTAAACAAAAAGGGCATAATCGTAATTTCATGGATAGGATCCTTACAGGCAAATGCATGCCACGTGCCCAATCCTTTACGCGGGCGTGTGCGGCGCATGTACCTGAGGACTAGCGCTAGCGCGTGGACAGCACGCGCCTACTACCTCCTTCGTGCCAGTTTGCCCTTTTTCGTCTCCGCCGCGTCTTCCGCCACTAGATTCTCCTCCAATAGCCCACCTTATACCAAAATAAATGGTGAGTTTTCGATACCACGCCTTCGTGACCACATGGATCCAAGAATCAGTGAAAATGACCAAGAAATTGCCCCGAATCAAGCGTAATTCCTCCAAAACGCAAACCCTAACCACCACGACTTCCGCCGCTCAATTCGTCTCTGGCGATCACCCAAATGCCGAATTCTCTTAGGACTTTTGTTGCCCATGGCGGTGCAACCATACTAGTCCGAACTCAGGTGGTGGGTCACCCGAATTTGACCAGAATCGGCAATTCTCCTTCAGCCAAAATTTACAACGATTTTCATTCAATCGAAATCCCAACGCAAAACATCAAGGCAGAGCTTTGTATTGCTCTGATACCAAGTGTTAGAAAATTCTAAAGGACGGAAGACCCAATTATACATGGACGAACAAAATTCATGCATAATTAAGACCTAATGCGGAAACGTGAAAATTCTTTACTAACCTCCGGCCATTGATGAGTTCGATTGAAAACCTGAATTGTCAAGCGCTATCAAGCGTTGAAGAATGATATCTCTAGCCAATGCCCTCTCGAACATGATGGTGTGTTTTCTAAAACGTTAATGAAATAAATTGAATATGGGAATAATAAAGTAAATGTGGGATCACATTAGTGATATTATAACATTATCTTCCACCTCACCTTACTGACGTGGATTTGTTACCGATATGGAAATGCCACGTCAAATAATTAATGGTGATTTTTGAGTGGAAGTTTAACCGGGGCAGATTTGAGACTAGATTGAAAGTTGGTAATTTCTTTTTAGATAGAAAAAGTCCAGGGCTAATTTGGGACTAGAGTTAAAGTTAGTAATTCTTTTTTTAGACAAAAAAAGTCCAAGGCGGAATCGAAAATGGACCTAAAATTGGGATTTTAGGGAATAATGAAATATAGTGTTCATAATTCGCCTGAGAGGAAGTATGAATGTTCACGGAATTTATGGACGAAAGTTCAACATTGAAAAAAGGCTTTCGAAATCGCATTGTAATATAGAGTGATAAGTCAATAGATTAATATATTTAAAATTCTCCTCACTTCTTGCATCAAAATTAGTTTACGAAGCCATTTTAGAAGCTCAAGCAAAGCAACCTATTAAAATCACGAGTCTCTCAACACTCAACTAAAACTCAATCGAACCTTCTCTTGGTTCAACGGTCCAAAAACATGTTCCTTGGCACCCAAACTTGTGGAAATTTCCTCTGTCGTTTTTCCCTCATTTTCAACCTTTTCATGCTTCGTTGGTCCCCAATTTTCTCTTATTTTTTCTTTAAGATGTTCCCATTTGCCTCACAAAAGAAAGAAATTATTTAAAATTAAACGATACCCTTTTTCCAGAAGTGAACGCAAAATGTTATCTTCGGTGATTTGTGAGCCCCCATCCTAAGGTCAACGCTGATGAAAATGGGTAGGCAAAGTTGACTCTTCTCTTTTGACTATTGTCAACCAGCCAATGTGGAATTTTCATCCGAAAGGTGTTTTGGACTCGTGAGTCGCGCGTGTCTGACACTCCAAAGTCAAACGGGCACTGGATAGATCATTTTCTTTTCGGCAAAAGAACACTACAAGTGCCATAACTTGTGTACGGCGCTCACTTTGGTGCCATAAGTTTTTTTTGGATCACTTTAGTGCTAAAATTTTTGAAAAACGATCACTTAAGTGCTAAGATTTTTGAAAAACGATCACTTAAGTGCCAACTCCGGTGCCGTACACAATTTTTCGCCGGAAATCCGACGTGGCATTTTTTTTATTAATTTCTGAAGCTGACGTGACTCGCCAGAAGCTCGCCGAAGATTGGCACTTAAATGATCGTTTTTCAAAAATTTTAGCACTTAAATGATCGTTTTTAAAAAAATTTAGCACTTAAGTGATCGTTTTTCAAAAATTTTAGCACTGAAGTGATCAAAAAAAAACTTATGACACTTAAGTGATCGTTTTTCCTCCGACTTGGCACCAAAGTGATCCGAAAAAAAGTTATAGCACCAAAGTGATCTCCGTACACAAGTTATGGCACTTATAGTGTCCTTTTGCCTTTTCTTTTCTGTATGGTACTCATTTCATTCTTTATAATATGATGAGGTCTAGGACATGCCCATTTTTGTTGGAAGAGAGTACCTTAAGACAAAAAAAAAATGAACATTTCATCTCTCCGGCCATTTCGGGTTAAGAAGATGGGTTAAGAAGATGTGAAAGAGCCTTTCCCTCTATAATAAGAGCGCGTTTCAAAGTGCAAAGAGGGAGAGAAGGGATTTTAGAATTGAAGTTTTGATAAAACGACCTTTGTCATTTTTTTTCTTGTTCAATATCATCACGATGTTCATACTATTTAATAGGTCCTAGGTCGCAAAGAAATGAATATAAAGCGAATCTATCTAAATTAATGAAGCGGCGAGGAACTAACTAAAAAGAAGTATCAAAATCGAGATAGCTATGGAAGAGGATCAAGTTGGCCCTCGCAAATATCAATATTCGGGGTTCATTTCGTTAATGGACGTGTATGTAATAACGACAACATTTTTCACAGAAATGAACATGGTTCACGATGAAAGCAACTGATCTACATAAATTGTCGATCCCATTTGCTGCCAACTATATGTTTCCGAGCGTAATCAGGAAACTTCAGAATATCATCATCATCCTCACGAATTCCTCGTAGCTGACGAGACCATCGCCGTCCAAATCGGCTTCTCTTATCATCTGCTCTGCCTCTTCATTTGTCAGCCGTTCGCCCAAATTCATCATCACATTTCGCAGCTGAACACAAGAAAAATGCATGTCATTGAATAGATTATACGCTTAAAGTGAGTAGATTTGCACACTAAAGCAGTCTAACCTTCAACATGAGCCAAAGTGAGACATTAAAAAGCATGTAATTGTCAAGGGGGAAGACAAACCAGAAGTAGTTCTAAGTGAAAACATAATTCTCTGGTCGAAGTTAGTGGTCTGTAACACTTTTTGTAGCTTTTTAAGCTGCATTTCCTGATGCAGGGACCGAAGTTAATCGGTTCAATTTTAAGCGTCAAACTCGTAAAGTTTGCGCTTTCTCATACTATTTATTCGGTGCACTGATCGCTTGAACTCAGTTGAGCAAAGTCCACATGCATAGATAGCCATGCCTTCAAATTAGTGAATAGTTTACCTCAATGGCAGATATATATCCGTCTTGATCTCTGTCAAACACTTTGAATGCTTCTCTTAGCTCTTCCGCAACATTTTCCTGCAAAGTATAGTAGATGATCCTCTAATATTTTCCCCTTCTTTTCGCTTTCAAAAACTACACGGAAGATATAAGAATGACTCGTCGGAATCAACCACAGAAGCCTTCTTCAACTCACCTTCATCTTCCTCCCCATGATGTTCAAGAAGTCTGCAAAGCCTATTGTACCGTTCCCGACCAAATCCACTTCGCTGATCATTTCTTGGACTTCTTCTTTCGAGGGGTGCTGGTCAAGCGATTGGATCACCGTGGCGAGCTCCTCCATTGTGATCATGCCTGTCAAGGATGAAACATTTGTTATTAACAGAGAGTGAGACAGCACATTCAGAATCTCACTGAGCCGCGACTTTCATCCTTAGTGTCACTCTGTCATGACATAGTGCGCAATCATTTCACGAGCCTGGCTCATGCGAACCCGTATTTAGACCATCCTGTCCATCAAAATCCCATGACAGGCAAGAAAAGTTTTTCCATTTCCAACAACAGGACGGTTTTGACCAAAGAAAAGAGCAACATAAGATGGTAGGAGGAACAATAGATTCAGATTTTCTGCAACTCAATAGCATCAAACACACCTACTACTACTGATCATCATCTTTTGTCTCCGTCATTAGTAACAAAAAATTGCTAATTCCACTGAACCAAAAGTTGCAAAACATCAATCGTCCGAAAATCAGAACATGGATACTCCAAAATATCTAGAAAAACAAAGAACCGAAACGAATTAGTACCATCAGAATCCTTATCAATGAGACAGAAAGCTTCATGGAAATCGGCGACTTGATCTTCTGTCAATGCTTCTGCCATTGTTGGGTCTGAAGACTCTCTGAACCTGGACTCTTATCTTTCGTTCTTTCTTTCTTTTGGAGGGGCGAAAATATAGAGCAGCGCTCGATCAGTCTAACTTGCTTGACGGTGTGCGTTGGCGTCGGTGTGAAGCCGTTCTTGGAGCGTTGAAAGGTCGAGGATATTATAAAACACGTTGGACGGAGATTCAAGGAACAACATCTAGAAAATAGTGATTCGCAAAATCAACGCATGTAAAGGAAAAGAACACACACAACAAATATTGCCGATGCTAACCGTCATCGAATTGATGGTCTAAACGGCTTTTAAAAGTCAGCAAAATTGAGACTTGACTTTCTCAAATTGATGGATCGAGGGGGTCCACTGGCGCCAAAGAGCAAAACTAGCAGTGTCGCGCAGGGAATCTTAACTTAGAAGCATCAGGCAGAAGCAATCGACACACAAGTAAGTAATTTGGGTCGACACGCGGAGTTCAGAACCAAAAGATGAACCCCACAAGAATTCCGCATCACGATTGATTCATGTTGGTATGCGGTTCATACTTTCTATCACGAGAAAGCATGGGGTCCCGCTTTCTAGTGAGCGGGCAAGGGTCACGAGGACAGCACCCTCAAGCCGCCAAAAGACTTTTATAGTTTAGGTTTGTATTTTATTGGTAATTTAGGTTTAGGCCCATAAATAACTGCTGTCTATATATAATCTTTCTTTTGTAATTAGGAGTTATAAACAGATGAATTGTGTTAATTATAGTGAAATCCCCTGCTTAATATAATCTAAGTTTAAGGGTAATCAGGATAAACTTTAAGTCTCGATTTCTTTTTCTCACCCTTACTCTCTATTTCGTTGTGTTTGTGCGCCTAATCCTAACACTTCCATGTACGCCGAAACAACAGACCAAGCCTATGCACTAAACTTATAGATTGGTCCAACAGGAAATGAAGGGTGACACCATTTTTCTTCCTTTCGGTGCCCCCCTTTTTAGCTTCATGAAGGGGCAATCTCGGTCGCATTGTCTAATGGGATTGCCGTGAACGTTTTTAGGCAAGAGTCATGTTGGAACTGCGATTATCACATAAAGATTTTCGAAGTGGTTCTCATCGAAAGCGATTGATTACAACTAAACTACAGCACAACAAACAAGAGATGAGGCAAATCTATCAAATGACTCGGGTTGTAATTGCCGTCATTGATCAAAAATTAAGAGTGAAAGGTATGTGAATGAATGCTAGAGAGCTAAACCAAGGTTAAGAGAAGATAATGGCGTCTCTTTTCGCAAAAGAAGGACCAAATGAATTGCTGATAAGACGACACCCTGATGGTGCATGAGCTTTTTCCAGAAGCAGACTAACACTCCCATCAACCTGTACAACCCATTTAACATTCTCAACAACAAGATTCGGGAAACAAGGATACGGCGAGCTCAGTTATAATTCACAAGACAACAGAAAAAGAAAAAAAAAAGGATTCTTCGACTACAAACTCTTACACAAACATAGTAAGGAAGTAGTTGTTATTAGCAGCTCCTTGTCTTCTCAACATGGATCTCTCTCTCTCTCTCTCTCTCTCTCTCTCTCTCTCTCTCTCTCTCTCTCTCTCTCTCTCTCTCTCTCTCTCTCTCAGATGGGTCTACCTTTGGGAATAATCTGATCTTTCAGCCACATGTATATTGGGACTAGTACAAAATAGGTAGCCGCCATTGCGCCCAAAAGGAACCGCAGCGAAAACACAAACGGGTTCACAGGCTTCGAGACATCCTCCGTCTTTGGACCGAGCTGCAATCAAATGCCAATGTCTCACAAGTGTATAAGGCGAAGAGAGGGAATAGCATGTGCAATGATAACAATTGCAAAGAACTCAAAACAAAAGCAGAGACACATCTTTATCAACCAATGCACGATGCACACGGTTCCCATCATCGCCCCCAAGTCCCAACTCTAAGTCATTCTCTTACCCCCCAATGTTGGAAGCTCTCCTATCAAATGGGTTTTTGTTGACCATTGGGCCTTGACTGTATACTGGTAATTACTTGATATTAACTGGGGTATTTGGAAACTACATGACATGATTTCTGCGTAGCCGAGGAAATGACCCTGGTGTTCTTCATCGTGATAAAAAACCAACAATGCAGTTCATGTCCAAGCAAAATAAGCAATTTCACTCCTACTGGAACAACAGGATACTCCTCTCGATCTCCTTAAGATGACAAAACTAATCTACATCTCACATCAATCAAACTAAGGTTCCACCAAAATTAAGAGAGTTGAAAGATTGACTATTGAAGCTCCGACCAGGCATCAACAGGTTTCTCACTAATTACAAGTCAAATACACAAAAATATCACGGAAGAAACAATCAGTAACATCATCATGTGGCTTCAAATTGGTGTAAAATTACATTCAAGAAAATTATGCAACTTTGTAGAGCCAAGAAACAAAAGAGTCACTGCATCTTGAAAGAATCTCCAAATTCTCCATCACTCCAAATGGAAGACCAGACTAGTTTGTGGATGACCATATCATTGAAAGACAAGGAACCCAAAACAACAAACCAGCTACACCTTCTGAAAATAAGGTAACATCCAAAAACCAGTACTGCCTTTACGCGTAACATAAATCCCAGAATCCTAAAATTATCATTAACCATGACTGTCTACATGACAACATGAGCTTTGCCATTATACAGCGTGCATTAAATGACCAGCTACAAATTTCATCACATCAACTTGTAGAAGAATTTTCCCCAAGTTAGAGTCGGACCATGACTCATTCTAACAATCCAAACTCAGTAAACTAACTAATTTGTCTTGCATTAATGAATTAGCTAGTTTGATATATTGATATCAAGAAAACTAGCTAATTCACCAAAAACTCCAAACAAAGTGTCTAGTTAAAGACAGGGAAACGTGATTTTTAAAGTCCTGCAGGGGTATGATTATGCAAGACAACAGATCAAAAGCACTGACTGTTATAGGACTTTATGTGCCATCGCCAGGTCTACAATGGCAAAAGATCTGTAATTTCTTGTAATTAGGCTCCATCTGCCAGCCAAATATTTTCAAATAGTCGTTTGCCATGCAAGCCATACACAACTTTGTAAGAGAATTTGAAAAAGGATTTCGCAATATAAAGATAGTCAATGATCATCTTATTATATGAGAAGCCTCCTCTTCAGTTACATCATGAGCAGAAACACTATCTTGGCTTCATATTGGATCCTACACTCATAAAGGTACAAAACCAGGGATTGTATTCGGTCAGGCCACTCGGGGTTCCAACCAGAACGAACCCAATAGAAGCCTGGGTTGATTGAATTAAGGTCTTAAACGAAACCAGAGGGTTTCGAGTCAGGTTTGGGAGTATTTTATGGCTACATAAAGCAACTCATAGGCAATAATATAGATTAAACACCCTCAGTTTTTCATCTCAACTACCTGTACTCTAGTCTATTCACTAATCAGAATAGAATTGGGGAAACATGTGTACACAAGCATGTGCGGGCATTTGTTATGCGTAATAGTAGTTACTTGGGAAGGATCAAAAAAAAATCACGACCTCATTTTATTCGAGTTGGATCATCATACAGAAACCCTATCTACTAGATATAAGCAGAATCAATGCAGCAAACAAGCAGCAGAAACAAACCTGTAAAGGAGAATCCCCAGAGGCAGGTTTAACACCTGTCACAGAACACCCCATGATCAACCCATGCCGGCGAACACCGCGATACCATTTTGGGCCAATCCTTTTCAACTGGACATCCTTGAACGCAGCCTTCTCAAACCACTCAATGTATTCTTCCTCCTTTGGAAAGAGCATCCACACATCAGCAAAGAAGCGAGACAGCCAGAATGTTGGGTACACCGGGCCTATAAGGCATGCCTTTCCTCCCAGTTTCAGCACTCTGTAGGCTTCCTTAATGCCACGCTGGGGGTCTGGCCAATACTCGATACTGAAAATGATTTTATGTAAAACCATCAGAGACAATTCCAGAAATTACATCCCCCTTTCTTACAACAGGAACTACCTCATACGCAAGCCATAACCCCACGCCTAAGACAAAGACATAGTTTCTCCAGCTTCTCCATCATAAAATGCCTTCATCTATGTATTACTTGCTAAATTATGTCCCATAATCTTAGGCTTGATAAATCCATTCGAGAAAACCAGCAGTGAATTAAAATCCAAAAGGGACACTAGGGGATTACATGATCATTGTATCTAGATGCTCAACACCAACAAAGTTGATAATGAAATGTCAATACTACTGTTATCCAAAAAAAATTGCGCATGTATAGGTCATCAATTCATTGATATATGTGAAACACTTATCCAAATTAATATGTGTAGAACATTCAGCAGAACATACAAAATTACTCGGTGGAGACACACATCATCATTAATTTAAAGGCAGGCTCCTTTCCTATTGGTCATGTAAATATTTGTTACATGACGAAGCATCTCATTTTGCAATTGACTCAAATATTACCTCATATCCATACCAAGTCCCTATTTAACTTAAGTTACCCATTATGAAGCACGGAAACTTAAGATAAAGTCAATCACCTTCCTGCCGAAATGTATCGGTCTGCATAGTCAGTCTCAAACGGGAGATCCTCCGCATCCCCCTCAATGATTTTGCACTCCTTCAGGGGCTCCTTCTGCCTGGCCTTGGCGAGCTGATGCGGCGACTGGTCGAGGATCGTGACATTCTTCGCATCCACGTGCTTAACAATACCTAGAGTGGTAAAACCAGTCCCGCCACCAACATCCACCACTAACATGTTCCTATCATTGAGGTCGGCCGGCTCGAGTGCGTCGTCCCGCATGTCCTCGGTCCAATGTCCAGGGTTTATAATGTGGTCATACACGATCGAGAGGAACCTGTAGAACCAAAAGGCCTCCTTCTTGTGCTGTATGAACCTAGGCTGTGAAGCAGGCCTAGAAGCCGACAAGCTACATCTGGGCACTGCTCTCTTCACAACCCCAATCCTAGCAGGAGACACCAGGGTCAATTTGAGCAGGTTCAGATTCTTCCTACCAAAATCCGACCCCACAAAGCCTAACCCTCTTGGGGATACGCTTCTCATCAATCCTAGGTAATCAGCTCCATTAAGCAGCGAAGAAGCCATGTCCTACCAAGAATCACCAGCGACTTCTTGAAAAAGACACGATCTTTAGTGCCCAGCAAGCAATACCCACATGCAAGGACCCAGAAACTTGATGGGTTTTTCTTATCTTCTTGGGTCCTTTCATTGACACCCACGATGAAGCAAGAACATGTTAGAATCCGACAGTTCCCACAATATGCACCCAAAACAGAGAAAGCATCAAGAAAATGGAGATAAGGGCTCACCAGATAGGTGCGCGGCTGGGGCTTGGCGAGGTGTTTTTTTCTTGAGCAGCCGCCACTGGCTCAGTGGTCTCCAAGCAGAGAGAAGGAACAGCAAAATACTACAGAACCCTACCTGAATGGTTCGTGTGTTTTTTTTTATGTTTTTTTTTTTTTTTGCTTTTCATGTTTATACGTATTTCCTTTTCAGTTTGTGGAACTTCTTTGGCATCGTGTGAGGGAGAATGGAAGATGGAAGAGTGCGTGTGTGGTGAATTGGTCCTGAATATTGCTGTCCATACGACGATAAGAAAGTAACGTAGACTCCTCAGTCTAATGGCGTGGACTAGTCTCTTGTGTCTTCATCTTTTTCTAGCTAATACTCTTTTCTTTACTAGTAGACTTCATTTCGTTGGTCAAAATAGCTATGAAATTCTTAAATGAAGTAGTTAATAGAGGGGTTATCGCGATCCCTTGGATCGTTGGTAATGGTTAAGAAGGTACTTCATCGAAGAAAAGGAGCCGAAACTTCGATAGGGGCTTCCATGACATGTTTGTTTACATTGCAGTGACGGCAGGCTCCAATGATGTATTCCTTGTTTTAACGCGCTAATGTCTGCACGCCCTAACCATGAAGTTTCTCTTGTATTTTTGTCTTCCTCGGGAAAGGAAATACCATATGGTAATTTTACATCCCGGTGATCTCAAGGTCCAAACCTTTTAAAGACCTGCTCAGGTCCATTATCCTTTTTGTAGTGACAAATCTTGTATGTGATCTTAAGAAAAGAAAAGGAATATGTCCATTTTTTGGGATCTCAAAGGCACGCGGAAACACATAAGAACTCTTGAAAAGGAAAAAAAAAAAGATGTAACTCCAATTCCTTCGGAAATGGTAAGATCTTTGGCGCAAGAAGACGGAGTTGACCCGTACCATCGTGATTTGGTTCAGATTTCTCTATTTTTCTTAAGAATAGTGCTTTTCCTACCTTTATCGAATAGATATATACATTGTAGAATTTATTGAATGCATAGACTGAGTAAATTAATTCTTCTGTTCTGTAAGAGTTGCAAAAAGATATGCTAGTGCTGTTGTGGATAAAGTTAAAGAGAAACATTAATATACTCTTGTATGATTCGTGTATACGGCAGACTTCTAATGAAATAGCCATATGATTTTCTACGGTAAAAAAGCTCCTGCTGATTTAAAAAAAAACATAGATTTGATAAAATCAATGACAAGGAAAAGAAAAAAAATGAAATGAAGGTAAGAGACATCAAGGAAAATTGTAATATCATTTTATTTGGACAAAAATCGAAGAGAAATGACATAGAGGGAAATTGATCATTGGTGTTCGGTGATATTCGGTTAAGAAGAAACATCACCACAAAAGAGGAAGTGAAACTCCCACGGGGACTTGTGTAACCTATCCATTCGACATACAGTGACGGCGAGCTCCTTTTCTTATATGCTAGTGCTCGCACGCTCTGTGCCCTCAATTCTACCTGTATCTTCGTCTTTCTTAAGGAGAGGAAATACCCTCTTTAAGTTTTACATCTCAGTAATCTCAAGATCCGGACGAAAATCGAGATGGAGTCTTTTAGGAACTTGCTAAGATCATAAGCTTATTGATAGTATAAATCCATTCATTATATCTTTTCAACTTTCTCACTCTTTATTGATGGAATTTTCGAAAGCGAGTGAGATAAAATCAATTTCCCTCCATTTCTCTCTAACTTTCGGAACTTCTTTCATGAACCCTAAGAAAGTAATTTCATTCACTTCCCTTCCCTTCATATCTTTTCTGTGCATTTTACCTAACCATAGTGTCCCTTTTCCCGCATTATCTTAAATATAATATTCTAAAGGATTGTTGCACTAAAATAAAAAATTAGAGCATCTATCCACAGAGTATAAAAAATATGTTCAACCTTAAAACTTCTTTTCTTTCTCCTCGTCGATGAAATGTCCTTTTAACTTGCGATAAATGCTAAACTACAATTATTACCTAAAGATACGAAACCCTTTTATACATATTCCGGTCGAAAGAAATACGATTACGGAGTGCAACATTATCACAATACAACATTATGTCTGTATTAACTTGTATTATTCTTTTTTTAGCAAAAAAAAATACCTGTATCATTCTTTCCATCTGTATATGCATCGTGTTCATTCACGGATACTAAAAAATTCCACAAAAAATTGCCCCAAAGAGGAAGCGTTATTATAAGTACCATCTGAGCACATGTCATGCTTTCTGGTTAACGCAGAACTTAACCGTAGACGCTACGCAGGCAAAGTTCAACGCAGAGAGCACCCCCACTCGGTATAGCTCTCTGGAGCCATCATCTGCAGAAAGCGAAGCTACAGAAGCTTTCCCTCAATTCATTACCCCGTGCACTCTCTCGGAGGTGGAGAAGACAAAGAGTTGAGGATTTTTTTTCTGTTCTTTTCCCCGTAAAGTTTCGTGCTTTCTGTAGTTTTTCCGCTTCTGGCTTCAAGAACCCCGAGATCTCTGCGCTTCTATGCCCTCCAACGCGCGGCGATGTCGTGGGGGTTCCTGGGTTGCAGCCGGGTGATGCTTTGCGAAAGTGGGTTTCGTGTAATGTAGCTCGAGTTTCGATTAGAGCGATCAAATGGGTGCTCCGGCTCGGAGCTGAAAAAGGCCGCTTCTTTGAGCCGTTTCGGAAAGAGGGTGCGAGAGAGAAGAGAGGGGGAGACTTTCGTCTTCGTCGTAGCCATCAATGCTTTTGTGGAAATGGACTCTAATAAGAGCGCGTCGACGGTAAATGAACATGCGAACAGCTCGGCATCGGATAAGAGGGGGAAGTATCGTATCATGGCGGAAATCAAGCGTCTCGAGCAAGATTCCAAGTTCTTGGAGGTACCCTTTTCCTTCTGCTGTCTTCTATTCTTGGTTCTTTGTTTGTTCCGTGCGTGGTCTGGTTAGTGGAGTGAGATTGTGAAGCATGGCTTTTGTGCGTCGAAGTAGCAGCATGCGAAGTGGGGAGTGCTTGAAATGATTTGAGCGTGATGTGTAGGATGTGTTGGTGGTGGTTTGTAATTGGGAATATGTGGATTCTCTTGGTCTGTTTGATTGCAAAGTTAAGATCTTTCTGTCATAGCTTTATCCTTTTGTGCTGAACGATGGCGTGGGAAGCAGCGGCTACATGTTGACATACTGTGGCACACTGAAAGGCGGTGCTGCTGCTACCTCTGCATAAAGTGGCTTTAAAGGCTATAGAATATTGTTCAAAACAGACGTGTAAAGAATTCAATTTACCAGTCTTGAGTGAGATTTCTACCTTTAAAGCCTCAAAGGCCCTCCTGTCCTCTCATTCCAAACCATCAAAACCCATCAGCTTAAGAGGCAAAGCTTCCTTATCTCTGTCTCTGCACTAGTTCGAGCATTTCACCATGTTCCTGAGCCACAATTCCAGCAGTCACCCTCGGCAATTCCACCATTTCGATGGCCACGTTCCACAAAACTCTGGTCCCACTCAAAACAATTCATCAAATTTGCCGAAATAACATTTGCTAGAATGTACCCTTTTCCTGAATGATGAACCAATTGATACTAGAGCTTGCACTCGTGCCTGTGCAGCTTTTAGGAAGCAGTTTCAAGAACTATGAATTTGGGTCATGTTCTACCAACTTTGTAAAGAATAATTTAGAAGATTTTGCAAATTTCTGGATGAAGTAGATGTGTTCTTGTTGAGCCATCAGCAGGTCTATTGAATGGCGACAACCGGACCTTGACTGAATTGAAAACGAAAATCTTCTGGCTTATATTCTGATGGTGTCACTCATGATGTATTTAAGGTGAAAGGTGCCCTTAAGCACCAAAGATAACAATACCTTGACTGACCAAGTTGGAGCATGCGCATGCTTCGGTTAAGTGTAGTATTAAGCATTTGCAAGGGAAATAGTGGACCTTGGACTTTTTAAGAACTAACTAGGAACTAATATCTCACGCAGCAACAGTGCATAGTTGAATTGAGAAATATATTAAATTGATCGAGTAAGACAAAGTAAGATGGAGAAAGTGAAATTACTGAATAATATTCATTTGGCATTAAGAATCTGAAACCATAAACCAAGCTTATTTTAGTTTATCTTCTATACTTACACTGTGAAACGGTTCCTGGAAGCTTTTGTTAACATTGAATAACATGCAAAAACCATGTTTGGTGAGGTATGATATAACTCATGTCATGGTTGACAATAAACAACTTGTTATCTAACTAACCATATGTCTTATCTTGACCGAATGTAGAGTCGAAGCACCTTCCTTCTTCTTCCTGGATTTATATGAGTGAGAGATGAATACAACTGAATTTAAATCAGAAGATCAATAAGATAAAGCCAGCGTGGCACTATTTCCTCTCATCAACTAGTCATTGATGGGTCAACATTAAACCTCTCATGCAACTATCCTTTGCTTTACCTATAACTAATAGATGTAATTGGAAGTACCAGTGCATTCAGTACTTGCTTATCATGCAAATGAAGCTAGTTATCATTTTATGATAAAGAAAGTTTGATGAACTCGATGCCAAACTTTGCTATAGCTTAGTTATAGCTGAGACCCTTTTTAACTGCATCTTAGTCCTGGAGATTACATATCTATCTGATAGATAAACTACTTGTAAAAGATGTCTAGCTATGATTCAGTTTAGCTTGTTCGATCTTGCTTAACATAATACCACGGGATGCCCTTAAAAAGTTTACCGTGCCATTGTTGGTTTTCCTCTGCTATAGGACATAGATGTGGTTTATCATGTGATTGGACAAATTTTCAAACAATGGCAGGAAGAATGGATTCATATCTGCAATTACTTAATGGCAGCATTCCACACATGTTATCTCTTTCGCTCTTGAATGTTGGACATTCTTTCAGATATCAAATGCACAGCGACCAGTTGAAATCCATTCAAACTGAAAGTTTCCGCAGTCAATCTGTCAACTTGGCCAGCAAATCCTTAATGCTTAGTACTTAGCAGCATGAAATAGTTACATTAATATGCTCGTTTATGTTACGTTGCATGTAAATGCTTTACTTGCCTCTTCTGATAAATTACGACGTAAATTAATCAACTGACTTGGCTACTTAAGAAGTTGTTTATTCCTTCCACTGAATCAATCTCTTTGATTTCAATGCATCTTTCAACTTAGCTTACAAAGGGGACTGTGACTGGTTCTCTGCCTAGCGGATATTTGCTGGACATTTTCTTTTTGCCAATCCATCTGGAGACTGTATTATGGGAAACTGGTGTATAAAACAAAATCAAAACAGAATGTTAGTGCAAGTATTGGGTTGAGTCTTATTTTATTAGTGGAAGGAATATCTTCATGTTGAGAATGTGCTGTGTACAAAAATCTTTTAGCTCGTCTAGTTGCTCTGATGGCACAGATGTAGCAACCCCTTCCAGATGTACTATCGGTATAAGGCAAGGTTTTAAAAGCTGGACCGGTGAGGGAACCATTCAAGTGACTTTGTCTTCAGTATTCCCGGTCATCCGTTAATAAATCTGGAGTAATAAATAAAGCAAAAAGGACCTCCTACATGTAAGGGATCTTTTTTTTTTTCCTTCTCCTAATATCCCCAATTACTTATTTGGGGACCTCCTATACTGTTGTAGGACAAATGCATAAAATTGTAATTGTATTTTATCTCCCACGCATTTCAATATTAAAACCAGATATTTTCTATCCAACAACTTCCATAGAAAAATTTTCAAATCTTGGAACATCTTTCTCTTCTCTCATACATTTATGTATTTCATTATATTGGATATTTATCAACAATTCTTTCCATATAACAAAACTAATACGGTGGTTTTGCTTAATATTTCAGATTTTAATTTTGTGCGTACAAGGAATACTTGTACACATTTGCCAGTATCAGTTGAATATATCTATTTCCAGATTCAAAACTTACAATGATGCACATTTGAGGGGTTCAAATCCATGTGTTGGTGTATTTAGGAGTCCCAGGTTCCAAATCAATTAGTTTATTCTTTCACACCAGTTGTATGTTCTTCGTTTACTGGTTTTTATATCAATTTAACATAATAGTATCATGCAGTGAGTTGCATGTGTGGACTGCCACATTACTGAGGTGCTCAGTTGGAAAATAGCCGAGCCATTTTTTTCCAATGTATTTTCTGCCAGACTGGGTCGTTTTATACTTCTCTAAGAATCGAGATTTCCATCTACTTGCTATATTGTATTTAAACACAGAATCTTTTGACTTAGCTTATAAAGGGGATGGGATGACTGGTTCTATGCCTGGCAGATACTTCCTGGGCATTTTCTTTTTGCAAATCCATCTGGAGACAGTTATTCTGATAAACCTCCAATGTCCATTATAAAACAAAAGAAAAACAGATTGTTACTGCAAGTATTGGGTTGAGTCTTGTTTGACTAGTGGAAGGAACGTCTTCCTGTTAATGAGAATGTGCGACAAATTCTCTTTTAGCTTCATCAAGTTGATCTGATGGCACAGAAGTAGCTACCTTGTCCGGATGTACTATCGTATAAGGCCAGGTTTAAAAGTTGGACTGGTGAGCAAACAGCTCAAGTGACTTTGTCTGCGGTATTCCCTCTGAACTGTTCGTAAATCCAGAGTTATATAAAGCAAAGAGGACCTCCTACATCTGATCTGAGAGATCTTAATCTTTTTTTTCTTCTCCTAGTATCCTATATTACTTATTTTACAAATATTGTTCTATGGACAAGTGTATAAATTAGTAATTTTATTTTATCTCTCGCACATTTCAATATTAAAATCTGATATTTTCTATCTAACGACTTTCAAAACAGAAAAGTTCAAATTTTGGAATATCTTTCTCTTTCCACATATATTTATATAATATATTTATCAACAATTTCTTTCCATTAAATATATCTAATAAGGTAGTTTTGCTTAATTTTTCAAACATACGCAACTTGTGCACGTTCACCATTACATATGGAATAATCTATTTCCAAATTCAAACTTACCCTGAGGCACAGCTTAGTGGTTCAAGTCCATGTGTCAGTGTTTTTAGGAGTCCCGGGTTCTGAATTCAAATCGGTTAGTTTATTATTTCACACCAATTCTTTGTTCTTATTTTACTGTTTTGAGATATAATTTATATCATATAAACATAATAGTAGCATGTGGTGAGTAGTATGTGTGTGACTGCCTTATCAATGAGGTGCTCGGTTTGGAAAATAGCCGAACGCAATTTTTTCCAATGTCTTTTCTACCAGACTGGGTCATTTTTAGTTCATGACCTGGTTGAACCTACTGATTTGGCTGAGTTCAACGAAATTTACACAGGTTTGATCCAGTCTTTTTTTTTTTTTTAACTCCAGAGGGCTGAACTGGATGGAACTTAGGAACGGGTTCCTGGTTTAACCGGTTAAACCGACCAATGCGGTCCCATTGTGAAAACACTGCTATCTGGTATTTAAACTTCTCTAAGAATCAAGATTGCCATCGACTTGCTATATGATATTCACATTGATTTAATGATTTAATTTAATCAGAGTCCTTTGCGATGTATGGCTCCAAGAATTGTTGCCTTAGTAGATCAGATGCTTCGCTTCCTCATTTCTAACTTCACTATACTAGATATCTTCATGTTTTGGCATGATTATGTCTTGAAGCATTTAATTATTTTATTGCTTGTGCTCTTATCTTTGGCAATTCTCTCTTCTAAATACTATATTTTCTTTTTCTAAAAGAAATCAATAAAAGATAATCATACCTCTGCAAAGTTCTGACCCTGTTGAGTTTGCATTTATGCATCGAGAGGATCTAAAACAGGAGGCATGCAATTGGGCAGTTCAGATTTTTTGCTTATTTCAGATAGTTGGAAAGGGAAAGCTTGGGTGGCTACTATGCAAAGATTGATTTATTGAATTGTATGGTTATACTGCGTTGACTTGGAAAAATTTTAAATACCATCTGCCAAAAAATCAGATATTGGTGTTCATGGAATCTGATTTCCTGCTCAATTTTATAGAAGTGTTAATTGTAGATGGTTCTTGTCTCTTGCTTCCTCTTCCTTGTGACAAGTATTAAACCAATCCATAGATTTCTGTTAGGACCTCGCCATTTGGCTCAGCTGCCCACACAGGGAATGCTGAAGTTCGAAATTGGCAGTTAAAGAAAACTAAAAGCCTCTAAAATGTTATCATGTGTGGTTTCATTTTGAGCTATTGAGTGCTGCGGAACGTGTTATCTTGTGACAACCAGAGTCCCAACGCATATATGTGCTGATGCGATATATTCTCCTTGATTTACTATGCAGGAGGAGTTGGAAGAACTTGAAAGATTAGAAGATGCCTCATCCATTTGCAAGGAGTAAGTATATGAGAGCTACTTTGTAAGCTTCTCCAACTTTGCTGTGGCTTAGAATTGTGGCTCTTAATTCCTATTTACTCTGGAAAAGGAGAGTCTGAGTCAAAAATTAGAAGCCTGAGAAGTCTGGACATATTGGCTTGGGTTTTTGTCTTTTGAGTATATATAAAAGATGTCAGAATTATATATTGAATTAATACCACGAAAAACCCCAAACTGGTATACCTGTGATAAATTTACCCAAAACTAATTTCTTAACCACAAAACCCTAAACAGGTATACTTGTGACAAGTTTACCCTCCATTAGTTTCCGTAAAATTTTACCTTCAAATTGCTGAGTTAGATGACACGTGCCAGTTGACGGGTATACCGGTTTGGGGTTTTACCCTCCGTTTGTCACAGGTATATCAATTTGTGGTTTTTCGTGGTATCAATCCAATTTAACGGAAATTAACAGTGGGTAAATTAGTCACAAGTATACCAGTTTGGGGTTTTTTGTAGTCAAAAAAATAGTTTGGGGTAAATTAGTCACATGTATATCAGGTTAGGGTTTTTCGTGATATTAACCCTCGCATCTTTTAGCATTCTGTGACAATGTTTACTTTGAAGAAAGTCACTGCTCAAGCTACTCCACTGCTCAGGTGAAATGCGGCGGAGTGCATGACCCTCTCAAAGAGCCTCTTGCGGTGATTTTTTTTTTTTAAATTGATAATGATTTTGAAGAACAGTTGTCAAAATACCTTAGATCTTTAGTTTGAACTTTTGGAGTAGCCAAATGTGAAGTCCAGATCTGTTGCTTTTAGTTTCTATATCCATCTTTTCCTTGAACATTGGTTATCTAACTAGTTTGCGGTGAAGGACTAAATTTACCATTCGGTTCTAAATGTCCTACAGATTGCTGCTTTATGTGGAGACGAAGCCAGATGCGTTGCTCCCAGTGTAATCCCTCGAACCTCCGTGCTTTTGTCTTAAATGTAGAGTGTCGTTTGCTTCTGCCTGTGAGCCCTGTTCGCTTGTTTATGTTTTCGTTCCCCTAATTACAGGACTACTGGCCCAGCAAACCCGTCATGGAATAGATGGTTTGAGGGGTTTCAAGATTCGGAAGGCTGCAGATGCCAGATAATGTGATGGATCTGATCCTGCCACGTATTGAATTTTCCATTTCCCAGAGTCAGTATAAGATTGTGATGAAATAGGGCTCGCGATAGCATACGCAACGAAGCACGTGCTGATGCCACAATAAAGATGTTACTGTTGATTGTAGCCAATGCGCAAGCAGGCTTTTTTGTGCCGCTGAGACTTAATGAGAGATTGTTACCTTGACTCAAAAGCGTGCCAGCCAAGGCGACCGTGCTGAGGAGGGGAGTTAGATGAATCCTGGATGGTCTGGGCCATCTTGGCGACTTGTAGAAGTGTTTCTAGGCAAATTGTATTGCATATTGTGTCACTTTTATGTGCAGTGTAGATTTCAGTGAATGCAGTTCTAAAGTTGACGTGCCCTCCTATTCTTTTCTTCTTCACTGGAATCTAAAATGCCTCTTGCCAAGGCTAGTTTTCTCAATGTTAAGTTCACTAACTGTTTGCTTGTGTTCGGGTTCTAAACTTAATTTACATTCTGCTTGGTTTATGGAGTAAGTGATCTCTCTCCATTCGGTCCGATTGATGCTGTGCTAAAATGTCAGGCAATATGTCTCCGCATTATCAGCTCCCTATGATGCCTGGAATCATCAGCTCGACATGAAATTTATCCAGAGACAGTTGTTCTTTCGACGAGTAATCGAGGGATTAGTCATTCGTCAATGAGCTTTCTCTTGTGTTATAGCCTTACTTAGGTCAGGTAGAAAAGATGGGCGGATTTAGCCAAGTGCACGAAAACGCCAATTGGAAGATCACCCGACGGAAAGAGAAGAAAGAGGATATTTACCTTGCAACCGAAGGCTCTTCGAGTGGCGTTTCCTCAAGATTTAGTAAGACGCGTGCTGCATACTCGAGCAAGTTGTCATCTAACTCAGATTAACCATAATTAATAGCACCTTGGTGCCTCTAAGTCTAATTAAATTCCAAATATTTGTGTGCTCCCAACTTCTGCACTGGTAGTTTTTGAGGCCAGGGTGAATTTGGGCCAACCCAACTTGCCGGTGACCCGCCAAATATTGGGCCCAAGAGGGTAAGAAATCAAAGCAAGGACCAGCAAGGCCTTCGGCCCAAAATGATCTAATTATCTTCTGCTTTAGCAGAGCACAAATCGAACAAAAACGCCAATTGCAACGACGAACTCTTCGATCATGCTCATGTCTATACATTCACATCTAATTAACAATAGCCCACAAAGCCTACAATGCGTTACAATGGTGCTTACCAGTCTTAAGAATTTCAACTCTAAAAGGTGCCAATTGCTTCGGGTGCAAAAGCGATCGCGCTTAATCCCGATACGAAATGGCTTGCCTACGGACCGAGAAGACACTCGTTCGGTAATGCTATAGCTCCTTAATGAAACTTTCAGTGTTTCTAAATCGTGTTCTCTTTTTCGTCGTCGCTGTGGATTGTGCCTTGGAAGACGTTCGTTTACATGTATTGAGAAGTTCCTAACAATCTCTTAGATTCTACCAAACACATCAAAAGGAGTCAAAACACCTCAGCATTTTTCTCCTTTAACGTAGTGTTCCAAAGTCTATATACATAACTTCCGAGAGTCGTGCATTCAGATGGAGGAAATTATCGCATTCAGATTAGACGTGGTGATAATTATAAAAGAAAATTAGACAAAGTGGCGACGTTTGGTAAGAGTCCTTGATTTTCTCTCTCCAATGTTTACAAAATTATAAATTAACCCAAAATGCCAATTCCTATTTTCTCTCATCATATTATTTATTCATCTGATTACGAAACCCTCGCAATATTACCAATTTTTTAAGAAATACTAGGAATCTCACGAAAGTTTCCGTTTGCATCATCATTTATTTATTAATAATGTCGATGGATAATTGTGCCTGCCGGCATTACATATGAGCCTTTATCATGGCATCACTCTCATCGAAAACCTCAATTACCACCTAATTTAATCCTTAATTTAATCCTCCACCTAGGTACTACAAATAATTTAAAAAAAGGAGATGAAAAATATATATTGAAATATGTTTTTTGTTTTTTAACCTAGCTCGGTCATGTGACGTGACCATCAAAACGATGCGAAGCCCCCGCACTAACTTTTGCGCTTCCCCATGCAAGAAATTTGGCTAGAACCCTAAAAGAGAACACCCAACCCACGTTACCATTGTTGAAATAAAACAAAAGGAAATAATAATTAAAAAAAATTTGGGTCGAAAGGGAAATAATTAAATTAAAGAACCTTAGAATAAAATTTTAAAAATTAAATTAAATTAAATAATGGGATGAAAAGGACCGTTAAAAGAATCTCTTTTCCACACTGTCACCATCACTTTGTCCTTCTTGTCTCGTAAGTCGAAAGCAAACCCTAGTTTGCACCATAGGGGGAATGCTATGGTAATTCTAAGTCACATGCTGTCCTGATGCTAGCTAGTCAATCTATGTGTGGAGTACTTTTATTTTTATGGTCGGTCCATGTTGTCCCATTTTCATGTAAGTTTGGGCTTTTTCTTCATTTATTTATTTTTAAAATTTTTTATATGGGTACTTCTTCATTTCTTTTTCTTTTTCTTTTTTGCATTTGTTTGCGTATATACTAGAAAAGGGTGGGGAAGAGAATTAGGATGAAAAAGAGGGGAAGTAAAAAGGCATGGGGGGGGAAGAAGATGAAGTTTCCTACTGTTGGTGGGTTGTTTTGGGAAGGGAAAAAGTTAGAGGGGAGGAAAAGTGAAAAGTAGGAAAATAATTTGATTTATTTAATGTGAAAAATCAAAGTTGCACTCCAATCAAGAAAGTGATGAGAACGACCGTAGGAGGCTAGGATGAGAACAGAAGTAGCATTCATGTATTTTTTTTTGGCTACATCTTTTTAGCCTTAGTGAATAATTAAGGGAAAAAAAAAAGTTTAAGCAAAAAGCACTTTTTTATTTTCCTCCATGTTTAAAATACTATCTAAATTTTTTAAAAAATTATGCACAAGTTCGTGTGTTAATATTATTATGCTGTGAAAGTTTTGGGTTCTGTAAATTAAAAAAATCAAAGTGCTTATGCCACAAGATTTAGATTCAATAAAAAGTTAATCCGTAAGATTTTTTTCACTAGCCTATTATAGTGCTTTTCTTTTTTGTCGAGATTGTAAGAGTCAATGAAGTATACATAATGTACTTTATTTATATGGTCACTCCATGTTATTCCATATTTATGTAAGCTTGAATTTTGTGGCATTTACTTTTTAATTTTTTTTATGAGTACTTTTTGTGCATTTGTTTGCATACTAGAAAAGGAAGGAAAGAGAATTATGAGGAAAAAGAGGGGAAGAAAAAGGGGGATAAGAGGGAAAGAAGAGGAAATTTTTCAGACTGTTGGTTGTTTTAGGAATGGCAAAAGTTAGAGGGAAGTGAAAATTAGGAAAATTTCATTTTTCTATGTGGAAAATCAAATGCACTTAAATGAAGAAAGTGATGAGAATGACCCAAGGATGAAAAAGTACTAATGACCCGTTTGTTTTAATTAAGTTCAAACAAAAAGTACTGTTTTATTTTGTCGTCGAAATTCTAAAATTTATGTATTCGATCAAAAAATCACAATGCTTATGCCACAAATTTTTGATCAAGTAAACGGTAAAAATCAATCCGCGAGATTTTTTCACTAGCTTATTACATTGGTTTCCTTTCTTTGAGAGATTGTGTATTCAAAATTTAGCGGAATTTAAAGATTTGAGTTACTCAATATTAAATGAGATGCAAATTTCAAAAGTTCAAATGAATGTCACAAACAAAAAATTATTTTAAACACACACAAGCTTTTTTACATTCTCGAATTTCTTTGACCTCTATTTTTCCGGTCGCGACTTTCTTTTCACTTCCTTACTCTACAGATATTTTCTGTCTTTCCAATGAAGTACAAAACTATATTCTATCTCTTATTTTATATCTTATTCTTTAGAAAATATATAAAGTCCACCGTCATTATCGAACTTTGTATATAAGCATGAATGAATTGGCGGTCCAACCAATTGTAAAAACAGTTGAACTAGTTAAAGATGAACGGTAAAGATCATTGGCTTAAGAAGAAGAATATGACGATCAGTTAAAAAAAAAATACAAGATTAATAAAATTACTCAAACAACGTCATTTTAACTAAATTTTTCACGTCATATCGCTGGCATGTCACGTAGGACAATTAGTGATGACTAGACCATTACTTCGGCATTTTCAGGCGCAAATTGACCGGAAGAACTATATTGAAATTTTACAAAAAATTTTATGATTATATTGACAAAATTGAAAAGTTTAGGACTACATTGGCATCATTACAACAAATTTAGGACTAATTTGGTAATTTTCCCACCAATTACGCCACTTGATCCGCACAATTCTGAGTGTACTCTTGCATGTGATGTTGCTTTAATGCAGATGTGGTATACTATTCTTCGAGAAGAAAACGTAACGTATTTTCTTCTTGCTATTGTTTTCTTTTATTACGTTGGATAAAAACTTCTCTATACAAATAAGAGATATTTATAACTTATATCCGACCCCCTCTTTTTTTTGAATCAATGATGGCTTCTTTTAAGGAGAGCGATGGATGCTTATCCTTCCATACTAATTTGTTCCATCCAATAGGAACTCCAAAGAACATGGGTCAGGTTTCGGGCTGACCCACCATGAGGCAGGAGAATTATAAAAAAAGCCATAAACTTATTTGCAATTGTGTAATTCAATCCTAAACTTTTTCTTTTTTGCCAATCAAGTCTATCCGGCTAAGTTTAGCGAGTGGGAGCTAACATTGACAATTTTTAATAAGATTTTAATATTTTTTGAAATTTTTAGTTCTTGTTTTATTTTATTTTATTGCTTTTTTTTCTTTTCTTTCTCTTTCTTTTTTTTTTCCTTCCTTCTTCCTTTAGCGGGTCACCGAAGTCCGGCAAAAATTGTAATGCTCTTTTCTCTGGTCGTGCCACGTCAGCCCCGACCAACCAAAATTGGTATAAATGCAAATAATTTATGACTCGATTGGCAAAAAAAGGGTCTAGACTGAATTGACATAATTGCAACAAGTTTATGACTTTTTTGATAATTCTCCCTCATGAGGCTGACCCAATATCCAACACCATCATGCGCATGCATATAGCTACCTACACACTAATAAATGTCGAAAAAAAATTAATGATTTATATAAATTTTTTAATGATCCATTTCAATTTTGGTATGGGATTTATATAGCATATGAAAATTTCTACTTTGGCATTATTCTAATCTACAACACTCAAATGGAACGCTCTTTTCTACCAATCTCATTGTGATTGATTCTTCGTCTTGTTGTATGAGGTAATTTATAATACTTTTTCGAGAAGTAAAGTCAAATTAGAATAACGAGATTGACATAAAA